TTCATGTCTAAGTATCCATTCGACATGTCCATATCTAGGTAGTTTTTAAAGACATTTAAGATCTTTCCCTTGCATGGAAATGGAATATGGGTGGCCTGCTTATGCTCAGAGACCTTTTTCAGCACAGATAAAATTCCAAGACAAAAAAGATTTTGATCTGATGTAAGTTCCTTTGTGCTTTGTAAAATGGTGCAGATAAACATAGAAGAAAATGGACTTTACACAAATAAGTGGAACTAAACTATGTTTCTCTAGTGTAAAAATAGATCAAATGGTAGGAAGACAAAAATAGGTGAAGTGGTAACATAAACTGACTTGTGTAATCAGAGGGTCAACTCTAACATTTTTCTCTCTAGGTCTTTTCTAATGGTTTTGTTGCTAGGGCTACAATGTTTTTGCCAGATTGGAACAGGATTGTCAACTCTAATGGAGATTAAGTAGCTTTCCCAGCTAGATTTAAAAAAAAAATAAGCATTGTTTAATACTGCTAGCTTTCAAAGCCATATTCATGAGGAATGGAAAGATCACTTAAGATTTGTTTTTGAAAATGTAACTGTTAAATTTGAAAGTTAGTAGACAGGTTTTATTCCACAGTCATTCCAACACAGACACTTATCATGGTTACACTGAACAAAATAACCTGAAATATAATTTCACACACTGGATTAAAAAATGAGAAATTATTATTTACAAGTAAAGTCAAAATTAATTCCCCAAGGAGTAACTAAGGTTGCTAAATGAATAAGTCTTCTGATTAGTTGGAAAACTGTTTCACAACTGCTTGAAAAGTCACACCTGATTTATTCTTTAAATAATATAGATAAGATATAGGATAAAGTCTTCTGTCTTTTGATTCCTTCCATTCATTGGTCAAAGTTGTCTGAGGAAAGTGTGAATACAAACTCACCCAATGAAATTCAAAGCACAGTAAAGGAAAACTAATTTGTTTTGGATACTCAATTGCTAAAAGGATGTAAAAGGTAAAAACCATTACAAAAAGGGTAAAGAAACATTCCCTTTAACATGCTAGTTGTAGAGTCAGGTGAGCTTCATTGGCCACGGAAAAAAGAGACCATCTAAACTTTAAAAAACAGTGCAATTTGCATCTCCATTGTCCCCACAATTTTGCTTGTGCAAGATAGCATGAGAATTAAATGAAATACTTCATGTAAAGTGCCTAGCAAATGGCAGATGCTGTGTTTTTTCCCCTGATATATTTATATTTTTGTAGCCAGAAATCCCAATGTTAACTTCTGGTTAAAAAAAAAGCTCAATATTATATTCTTTAGAGTCAAAAGAAATTCACCTTAAGTATCACAGCATTGGTGACACCTGGTGGAAAATATAAGCATTACAATGTAGTATTAATATAGCTATTCTAATTTTTCATGTATAATAAAATTAAGATAAAACTTACAGAGTAAGCAATTAAATAGAAACAGAAGGTAAAGAAAAAAATTAAATGTCAAGGTGGACACCTATCTAATGACAACAATTTGAGTTCATATTCTAAAATATATGAGGTTAATGAACCTAAGAAACGAATGCATCCTAATAATAAAAATTTTTATTCAGTATACGTATTTATATAGTGATTAAAAATAGAGGTTTAGAGCCTTTATGCTATATACTAAGTCTTTTTGTGTATCATGTGCCAAAGAACCTTCCTCCCCAAGTTTTCAGATCAGAATTCACTGTGGGGTTTCCTGAGGAGTACCTCAAAGAAATAGCCAGGTGCGTTTCAGAGAATCATTCCTTTTGAGGTATTATGGATGGAGACAACAAATGATGTTTTTAATGTAAGTCATAAATGTCACAAAATCAATTGCTGTGAGCCAGGGAGGGGTTTGAATATTTGTGAACTAGAGAGCAGACAGATCTATTACAGGGTCAGCAAACTACAACCCATGGGCCAAATATAGCCTGCCATCTGGTGTTTTATATTGGAACACAGCCATGATCATTTGTTTACCTATTGTCTAAGGCTGCTTTCAAGCAACAAGGACTGACTCAAGTAGGTGTAAGAGACTGTATGGCTACAAAGCCTAAACTATCATCTGGCCCTTTACAGGAAGCTTACCAACCCCTGGTCTATTGGATCCTTGCATCAGATTTTTCACGCCTCTTCTCCCATCTCCTTGGGAAGAGTAGACGTCCCTTCTCCATTGAAGTTAGGCTTAGCTGTAAGACTTGCCTTGGTCACTGAAATGTGGGAAAAGTGTTAGTGAAAGTTCTGAAGCTGCACCTTAAGAATTCTGGCTAGCCATTGTCCCTTCAGTGGTACAATGACATGTGACCTTCAGGCTTAGGTGAGAATGGGACAAGCACCCCAGCTGACCTGCAGGCCTGAAGGAGAAAAGAATGCTTATTGTTGATATTTTATGGTTGTTTGCTTTGCAACAAAAGCCAACTAATACATGACATTGCTGTAACTCTCTGTAAACATTCCCACAGAGGCTTGACTTCTCTGTCCAATTGATGGTACTGGGAGAAGGATCCTGAAGACCAGATGTGGCTCAGTCCCCCTGGGGCTCTATTTCAGACCTCAGTGGGCTCGACAGGAACCTGTTTTCATTCCTCTACCTATTGTAAGCAAAACTGAGTCAAAGCCCAGGCCAGGTCTAGAGGCCCACCAGACTCTCTTGGGATCTTCCATTCTCTATGCTTAACATGGTGTGCAAGTCAGTCATGATTCTTTCATCTGTTGGTTTAAATATTTTCCTCCTAAGGTGAGCCTCAAGGTACAGAAAGAGCGTGGGATAAGTCTAGTTGCAACCACAGGCCAAAACTTTTCCTATCAAGCTTTATCAATAAAGGTCATAGCTTGGCTCCTACTCAACTTCGATACATATATTTCTGAATTGATATATAATCTGTAAGAGATAAAAAAGATCACAACTAGCTCCTCAGAAACCTCATAAGATTAAATAGTAGCATGCAAATGGTGTAGGAAATCTAATTTAACCATGTTAACAATGTTGGCTGAGATGAAACGAGCAAAATATTTAAATATGCAATTTCACAGAATTCTTAGTCTTACATCTCAGCTTGTTAAAATACAGACAAGAGCTTGTCATTGTCACTTTTTTTGAAACCTTCAGTCTGAGTCATTTGTATAGATCACTGGGTAACCAGGGGTCCATTTATTACATGGAGATATGCATAGTTCACAGATTTGCCAGAGAATCTTTGGAGCTGCTCTAGTTCTCTGGTTTTCAGCCTTCCCTTTCTTTATGTAGCTAATATTCTTCCATTAAATTTTTTCAAAGCCAATTTTTGCTGATTTCAAAAAAGGAAGAGCCTAGCTGATGCAGACCTGATACTACAGAGTAACTATCAGGTAACAGATTGAATGGCAGAAGCTTCTATTATTGAGACTAACATTCAAATCCTGGGCTTTAATTTCTGGACACAACTCTTAAAATGGGAGAGAAGTCAGTACCATACTAAGTCACAAACTAAAAGTAGTAATATCAGGAACACTAAATTTGTCAAAAACATAAATGACAGAAATTAAATGTTACCAGTAATATATGTTGCTGGTGAGCTTTTGGCAGGGAAGAACCACATTTTATTACTGCTGGTGTTTAACAAAGGGGCATTCAGTGTTTCCCGAAGCAACCATTGCTTTCTATAAAGATTTTCAAACATATTTCCTAAAAATAGGATTATAATTTTCAACTGTCTCCATATTTTTATTCAAGTTCTATTTTTGCTTTTCCTTCTTAACGTGTATTTCAAATGTTTACAGGTTATGAACAGCCAAACATTCAAATGTTTTAATCTTAATGGAGTCTACTGTATACCTCACACTGTTTGGAAACTTAAGACTCTTGTCCATCCCTAAATCAGTGTGATTTCCATTTCTGCATAGCTACTTTTCTTATTCAAGGAAAAAAAAAACTTGTGGGTGGACCTCAGCTAGATAGCTTCAACGACTGTTTAGGGCATGGGCTTTCCCAAGAGCATTCACCATACCTGTCACCAAACATAGGCACCTACTTGTCTAGCACTAAGAGATGAAAGAATGTAGGACATTGCCCTTAATTCTTAACAAGCACACAAATGAGTCAAAGAGGTAAGACTATCCAGGTGAAATAACAAAGACAAATACATAATGAAATCAACCTGTTTGGTAACTTCATGGTCCTTCGCCATGTATTTTCCTGTCCTTCCTAAGATTTCAAGTTTCAGAAAGGCCACGATTTTGTTTCATTCATCTTGGCACTTGGCACACAGTATTCTGCACGGTCATAGATGCTCACTATGTAACTTTTGAATGAATGGATACAGGCTATGTGTATTTACTTAATAGTGAAGGTTAAATGAATATATGTAAAGATCTTACACTAAGTGCTTACAAGACTTTTTAGAAGTTTGCCTTAAACTGACCTTAGAAAGATAGGTAGGAACTGAAAGAATATACATGATGAGAGAATAAATGAAGGCACAGGAATAACCCTAGTGTTTAAGTATACATTTGACCCTTAAACAACACGGTTTGAACTGCTCAGGTCTGCTTATTCTTGGATATTTTTCAATAGTAAATACTCCAGTACTACACCATCTGCGGTGGGTTGAATCCATGGAGTAACTACAGATATGCTGGCTATAGTTTTACTGAGATTTTCAACTGCTTGGAGGGTCAGTGCTCTAACCCTGCATTGTTCAAGGCTCAACTGGTGTAAGAAAAATTAGGCTGACAGTAAGGCTAAGAGTATAAAAAGGTTCTACAAGCCAACATTTGCTAAACTTGAATTAATTCCAAATGATATTTATCATTTTACACAAAGAACAATGTTTGTTTTAAATCTACTCTTATGAGATGAAGGGGGTACATAAAAGCTTGTCCATTAAATTGAAAGTACCTTAAGACTTAACTTCTGTACCCTTAGTTCCTGAAACATAGCAGGCACAAGAAATAATATGCTGTACTGAATCCACCATAACTATTTAACTGTATCAACACCATACCAAAATAAAAATATCTTAAGACAAACTTAAAACATACACATTTAACTTTATTTTGTATTTGTCATTTAAATCTTGATTTTATAAAACATAAAAAGACATTTTTAAGAATGGAATTTAAACAGTAGAAATATCCAGGGCTTTACAGGTTCAAGTTATATAAATTAAAATCAAATAATTGGAAAAAATTTCAATATGGAAACTATACAAATGAAATAAATGGCAAAAGGACCTAATAGAAGCAATATTTAATTACTATGGACTATCAGTTACTTTCAGACCTAAACAAAGATTCTGAATATTCATATTTCTTTTGCTGTATTTTATATTTAAATATTTCTCTATTTTCTGAGTCAAGATGCTTGATGAAACAGTCTGATTTAGGAAGGGATTTAGCTTTATAGCAAAAGTTTTTCCATCTACAGTTACCACCTCCAAAGGAACTGACATAACAATACTGATGTAATCTGCTAGTTCCCTTTTGAACAGTATGCAGTAACTTTTGTCAATCCTATGGAAAGTCAAACAGGTACCAAAAAAGGAACAGTTATGCAGATTCAGTAAAGTATAATGTTAAGTCTTCCCCATCTAAAAATTAACCAATGAAATAAAACATATCAACTATAGTTGATCAGGTTCCAGGAAAACCACATTTGAGAATTTTAAGTACATTATTCTCCTTATCTCAGACTCAGTCATTGACAGGAATTTTGTAAGCTACCATGCTGTTTACTTTGTGAATTGTGGTAGTAAATGAACGAAGACGAACTTCCTCAGAATTGGTAATGAATTGTGGTCCCGACTCTTCCCATTTTTCAGGTACAACCAAATCTTTGTCTGTATAAATTAGGAGATCAAATGAACCTAAATTGGGAATAAAATCATTAAAGTACATTATTTTTTCAAAAATAAAACTACCCTCCCTGTCTCATACTTCGAACCATCCAGTGTGTTAGAAAAGAGTTCAGCCTGGTCTCTTAAGTTAACTGCTTTTTCTCAATGGAAATTTACTGCAGTACTGTAAGTATTGCACTCCTTTCACTTTATCTTATGAAAAATTCAAGTTTCTTTTTTTCTTTAAAGAGTAAACCATTAAAAATATTTGTAGGAAGTGTATAATCAATTACGTGGGATATCAAGAATGTAACCTAAGGAAAGCTAACATCTTGGTTCTGTGACTGATGTATCCTAGTGCCTAGAACAATGTGTGGCATATAGTAGGTATTCAGGAAATACCTGATGACTGAAGCAGTAACAAAGATAGAAAGGCAAGACATAATTATAGCTTTAGTCTTAAATATATACATAAAACTGTAAAAAATTAAAATAATGAAAGGAATTACATCAAAACAATCAAGAGTGAGTATTGTGGAATAATTTTATTCCTTTCTTTTTCAGCATTTGCAAATTTTCTAGAATGTACATAACTTACTTTTGCTTTATAATTCTTTTCTCATTTTTATTACATGATATTGATAATTAAGAAAAAATTTAATAAAGGGATAATTCTTAAAATAGTAACTTCGTTTTTTTCCCAATAAATTGAAGTCAACGTGAAGTTGTGTAATACTTACAAGAGACTTCCAACAGTGGCAGAAATGTCACTGTAGCTGTGATCTGTCTGATCACTGAACGGATTTCATCTTGGATAGCTTTCTGAGATTTTTCTCTGGGTGCACTATCAAAGAAGCCAAATGAATTAATTTATTTTAAGTTTTAACAAGTTTTTAAAATTTTGGTAAGATTATCTGATTAAATGCTTCTAAAATCAATTAAGTAACGCATTAAAAAGGAATTAAAAAAAAGTATAAGTATATCCTAAGGACCTTTAACACAATAGGCATAATATGTGTTTTTATTATTTCATTTATTCTTCTAATCATATTTTAGGGTTGATCTTAGTATTAGGCCATTCTGTATCAGATGACCAGAAAAATCTTCCAAATGCTCCAAGTCAGGAAAACATCAGGAACTCTTAAAAAATAAAAATAATAAGTAGTATCTAAAATATTTAATTGTTATAAATATTCTGGCATTTTTAGTAATGTCTAAATGTCTAGTTCCTTATTCCTCAAAGATATTAAATTATATATCAGATTATTTTTATATGCTAAAAATTTCCTAAAATTGACCAAAGGCTTCAGAAGCAAACTACATTTCATTATGAGAAATGGCTCTGAATTTACAGGGAAGCATGCCTACGATAATGCTAGACATTAGCATATAATGATGGGCATTTCCCACTTACATCATCTGGAAACTTCAGAGTTTATGAACGGTCTTAGGAAACTTGTAGCATTAAATGAAATACAGTAGAGCTGCGTCTTAAACTGGGAGAGTCTAATAATCCCTTATGGTTAAAAGTCCTTTCTAAAAATAATTTCTTTTATGAATTACCAGTTAAAAATTAACAATTTTAATGAATTAACAATTCATTAAATGGGCCACCTAGTACACTATGTGTAGTTTTGCATATACCACCAGAAACACTAGTCTGAAATTCACCAGTTCAGACTAAAGGCAATTATGTTAAAAGTACACTATCTATACAAGCCAGTGATACGCCAAGTGAGCACAGTTCTTTTCCGTAGGAGACTGAAGATCAAATTAAACATCTTAGGAAAAAGTATACCTTAAATGAAACTTATTCAATATAATTAGAACTCATTTAGTAAAGAAAACAAGTTTTAGAATAAACATATGAAAGTGGAAATAATTTAATTCATACTTACCTGTCATCTTTTGCAGTCTTGTCACACTCAATATCAAACTGCCATCTTTCAAGGACCTCACCACTTTCAATATTTGAGATGACTACCACCAGTTTCTGAACTGAACATTTGTATAACCATTCTGCAATACATAACAAGGCATCTTTTTTTGGTGCACTGCATTACAAACCAACTTTCTTCTCAGGTCCCCCTCACCACTTTCAGGAAATTTCTACCACTGCTATTTTGGATCTCCTCCAAATTGTAGAGAAAACTTGCCCCATCAATGACCTAGCTGCTGCTTTCAAATTCTCAGTATTTGTCCTAGGTATAGTACTGGGTGCTGAGGGCAGGTAGTGAATATGTGGTACTTCCATCCCAATCGACGGGAAGAGTGTAGGAGATGGTATTAATCATTGCACCAATAAACATGAATTATAATTGTGATAACTGCTATGAAGGTGTGATATATGGTGCTATAAAAGCATAAAATAGGAAAATTTGAGTCACTTAGGGATGGTTTGAATTTAGTCCTAAGAATCAGCAACATTAAATATGCAAAAGGATAGGAAAGAGGTATATGTCTTAAAGACTCGAAAGGCCAGTACAATGGCAGTTAAGAAAGGGAGAATGAACAAGGCAAGTCTGGCAAGATAAATAGGGGCTAGACCATGCAAGGCCATGTGGGCCAAATTAAGGAAATTATACTTTAAGAACTAAGGAGGTCATTACTGTGTTTGAAGCAGGGTATGAAGTAATTAGACTTGTATTTCAAAACTATCATTCTGGATGTGACGTGGGGAGTGAATTGGAGGTAAATAGGGGATGTACAGACACCAATTAATTAGTAATTCAAGCAAGACGTAATAAAGGCTTGTAGGAGGATAAACTGGTAGAGATGGAGCAGTAGACAGAGTCAAGAGATTTCATGGTTAAAATTGTTAAGATTTATTGGATTACCTCTGAGAGTAAAGAAGAATAAATCAGGGCTAAATCCCAAGTTTCTGATTTATATTCTAGTTGGATGGTTGACTCATTCACTGAGAGGAAAGAGAACTGAAATGGAGATGATTTCAAATTTAGTTTTTAATATGCTGAGTCTGAGTAGATCTGGGATAGCCACATTAAGGCATCGAAGGAGACACTCAGTATATGAGCCCAGAGTTAGAAGAGGTTAGTTAGTCAATTACACAAAGGTTATTACTGAACCCATGTACATGTAAGAGATCAACTAGAGAGAGACTATAGGAAGAGGGCCTCACAGATTGAGTCCTGAATTAATCTTAGAAATTGGGATAGTGTATTCAGGAATCAGCAGTTTTTTGTTTCTTGGGATAGAAAATAATTTAGAAATATTTAAGGCTTGTGGGCTAACTAGGTTACAGTCTTTTTTTATTTTTTAATTGAAGTATCATCAATTACAGTGATCAATTTCTGGTGTACCGCCTCCATGTCCCAGTCATGCATATATATACATACATTCATTTTCCTATTCTTTTTCATTAAAGGTTATTACAAGATACTGAATATAGTTCCCTGTGTTATACAGAAAAAAATTGCTTTTTTAATCTATTTTTATATATAATTGTTATCATTTGCAAATCTCAAACTCCTAGTACATAGTCTTTTTAAAAACAACCCTTTAAAAATATAAAATATTCTTAGCTTGCAGGTAATACAAAAATAGGCCACTTGCTGGATTTGGCCTGTCAGCCTTGCTTACCCCTGGCATATATGAACAACTTTTATCAGTTTAGTTCTGAAAAGGAGAGATTAGATGGTAATTTGAAAATCTAGGGTAGGTGATAATTTTTTTCCCCATTTAAAATTGCAGAGAAATGAAACCGATGGGAATAATCAAAACAAAGAAGTTGACAGTACAAGAGAGAAGGAATAGGGTAAAGTTCCTAAGTAGGCTAGAGGAATGGGATTTAAAACAGACTGAACAATTTGCCTGTAAAGAGCAATCCCTCCATTTTAACTAGCAAGAAGTTAAATAAGAAGGTCTAGATACATCTAAGGTGAAATGCCATTAGTCTCAAAGGAGACAACCCAAAAACCAGTAGCTTAGGCAAGGCTTGCTTCTCCATCAAATTATGAAGACATAGATGCATAGTTGCCTAGAGGTTCCATGCCAGATAATCTGAGTGCAGCCCTATGAATGACTATGGGTGATTTAGCCCTCAAGTTAATGAAAATAAAATGATGTAATTTTAAAAATGAAACTATTTGAAACAACAAAAAATGATTCATAAATTTTAAAATAAAAAAGATGAGGACCATAGTGTTTTTTTACAACTAGTATTTTAGAAGATCAAATGGGTAGCTAGGGAGAAATATCCTACAACAGAGGAAAATTAGAAGTGAGAATTCTAAAAGGAGAGAAACATGAAAGAGAAACTAACAAGAATTTTAGAAGAAGAAAAGGAATAGATGGAAAACAAATACTGATCCAACAACACTGTAACTTCTTGAACTAAAAGGAAGAAATGAGTGTTCAGATACAAAAAGACTTACTGACTCACAGGCAGAATTTTTAAAAAAGATAAATAGAAATAGATGAAAAGTAAGAAAATCTTAATGGGTACTCTATTATTTGTAGTTCTTCATTTTTTTTCTTTTTTTTTCAAGTTTAGTTCCCAGGCTGAATTCAGTTTTAATTTCTTGGTCTTAATATAACGATGGCTTTAGACTCCAAGCAATTACAAAAAATATATTAAGAATACATAGTGGATTTTTCTCAGATAATGAATACCGTCATAACTGCGTAAAATTCCAGTGTGTCCCATTAGGTTACATAAACTGCAATAGTCATTTTAAAGGAGTTGATGGAGATTGTTTTGTTAAGTCATATCAGATTCCTAACATTAAAATATGCAGCCAACTCAAAATGTGGTGCGGGAATGGTGGGATTTCTTCAATTTATATATCATTTGTTTCCTCCCAATTGATTCACTATATTTGAGACAGTGGTGTATTTTACACCACTATGCTCAGAGCTGAAAAATGATCACTAAGATGCTAGAAAATGTGGATCCTAGAAGGTCTGCAAAACTCAAAACTGTTTCCATCAATTAAATACCTTTTAGTTGTTCCACGACATTATTTAAGTATTTTATGAGCTCAGGATCAGTGGTTACAAGCAAAGTGAGTCCATATTTCTGCACTCGAGTAAAGGTTTCAGATGGATATATGCCACGCTGATATAAAATGCTGTTGATGCCAAATGCTGAAAACAAAAGAAATGTTACAGCAAGGTCATTATCACTTTGTAACTTAGGAAAATAAAACATAGTTAGCTGTGGCTGTAGTTTCAGTAATGGTGTAAGGCTGCAGATGTCTAAACACAGGTGTTTCTGCGTGTTTTGCTGAAAGCAGAGTAGGTACAAAGTGGCATTAAAAAATCCTTAAAATTTTACTTTTAAGAGAGAAAGCGCCTGCAAAAAAAAAAAAAGGTATTTATGTGACAATGAAAGATACCAAACTGCATTAATCTACTGCTGCCAAATTTCATTTCATTGTAGTACAAGACGAAATTCAGATTATATGGTTAAAAGATGTCAAAATAGGCAACTGATTGGCAGTCCAGTGCCCCAGGCAAGCCTCTCCCTGTCTCTTTTCCTCCATTTCTCCTCACAAGTCCTGTCAGGTTCTATCAGAAGGTACAACCGGCCTGGTCCAGAACAGTGCTTCCGGAAATCTAGTCCCATCACCTTCAACTCCGGATTCACCTGGGGAGGGGGCGGGGGAAGGAGGATCTGCGCTTTAAAGAAATGCTCCTGGCGAAGGGGCTGCGCCGCGAGGCAGGCCTCCGCAGCCCTAGGCCTCCTCCACCATTAGCAATGCGTCCAGAAGTCGCGCCTGCACCCGCCTCTTCCCCGATTCCTCCTGCAGGCTGAGAGGGCCTGAATTCGGGGCCACTCGGGCCCACCCGGCTTCCCCGCCTCGGAGGCCAGCCGCGGGCCTACCAGGCGGCCTGGGCTCAGTTCTCCCCGCCCTCCGGCTGCGCGAGGAGGACTTACAGAAGAACTCGGCCACGATTTCGGCGCTCCCGCGCAGGGTGATGCCTTGCTCCCGGGAGAGCTGCAGCGCCATGGCCAGGCTCACGGACGAAGGCACGCGCTTCCACCCTGCAGACAGCGACACCAGGGGCTTCCAGCGCAGTTCCCCGCCACTCGTTTCAAAAGTAACGACGCAGGACGCCGTGGGGCTCTTCGCGCAGGCGCGGCGAGCCTTTGGGCCCCGCCCTACGCAGGGAGGCCCTGCCCCTTTTTTCCGCTGTCGCCCGAGCCGGCTATTGGCGCAGGCGCAGTGGGTAGGCAAGGGCTGGCTAGTCCTGGTAAGGAAGCTCGGCAGGTTGCCTGTTGTGCGCTGGACCCCAGGGAGGAAGATGCTGGATCCCGTTTTAGTGGCCGCTCCCTCCCTAGGTCTGCGGACAAGAGCGAACAAGGAGTACAATTTCTGAATCTGAAAGATCTTTTGAAAATAATGCGAACGGTCCGCCAGCTGCACCTTGAGTGGCCCCAATGATCCTTCGTGGGCGATGGAAACTCCCTAGATGTTTTGGGAGCTCGTAGAGCAACTGCGTGCGAGGCAGCCCAGCCACAGTGTGGGAGCACGGCTTCTCCTGAGAAAAAGAGGGATTAAAGGGACGTTTAGGAATTAAAGAGACGTACCGCATCCATTTCTCTGTCCTCTGTCAGCCTGGACTCAGCTCGCCTCTACCCGCCCACCCCGCCGAGCCCGCCATGAGGCTGAGTCTGGGAGCAGCAGGGGGCTGCGCCTACTGGTCCAGTTTGAGCTCTGTATACCCTGCCCACCTTTAGGCGACTGGTCAGGAAAAAGGTGACCTCGAGTTTTTCAGTGAATTTTGACTAACAAATTTAGTGACTTTTAATGTTAGGATGAGAAGTATTAAGGAGGTAGTGCACAGTGTTCATGTAAATTATGAAACAATTTTATTCTTAAAGCAATTGGATAGGTTATTTGTAAAATGGAGTCTGAAAAACTTAACCACTAGACATACTGTTACTTACTTATATGAGAAAGTTCCTGAGTGTATTAGTTTTCTATTGCTGCATAACAGATTACCACAGATTAGTGTTTTAAAGCAAGACTTATTTATTATCTCAGTCCTTAGGTCACGAGTCTGGGCATGGCATAGCTGGGTGCTCAGTCTCACAAGTTTGAAGTAAAGGCATCTGTCTGCACGTAGGATCTCATCTAGAATCTGGGGTCCTTTTCTGAGCCCCTTGGTTCTTGGCAGAATTAATATCCTTGTGGTTCTTGGACCGAGGTTCTCGTTGACTTGCTACCTGTTGGCCGGAGGACAGGCTTGTGCTTTTGCTAGGTAGCCCTTCTGTAGGCCTTCACTTCCAGCCTCTCTGACTTCAGGGAGGTTCTTTTTAAGGGCTCATCATATTAGGTCAGACCCGGTCGGATAACTTCCTCTTTGATGAACCTAATCCTCAAAGTATATCTCCTCATAATTACAGGTCTTGCTATACTCAAGGGGAGGTATATAGGATATGCTCCCCAGAGACCACACATTTTGGAAGCCATCTTAGAACTCTGCCTATCACAATGTTATATATCAGATTTTGGTCAGTTTGAGGAGTGAAACAGGTATAACAGGTAATAAGCTGGCTTGACCTAGTAAAATATTTTCCTTACATCTTTTAGTCTCTGTGGTACATGTGCAATAGTGTGTTTAAATCACCATCTTTTCACTCCTTCCAACAGTATTTTGGGTTAGAGCCAGAATTCTGGCATCACCCTGATAGGGCATGATGCTCACCCTACTCCATATAGAAATTGTCTCTTTTTCTAAGATACTTACTACTCAGCACTTCAGGAAAGACTTCCTTCAGTTTCATAATAATACAGTTTGTAAATTATCTGAACAAACAAGTAATTTTTAGTATGATTTTGGACATTCTGGAATTTAAAAGGCTAGCAAAATAAGTGAAATGTCCTTGTACAGAGGAAGTATTTGTTAATGTTTTTTGTGTTCAATGAGGAGATATAAGAGTTAAGGTTTAGAAGACATGGTCTGTACTTTTTGAGTTTATAATCTAGCTTTGTTTAAACATATGTAATTTTTAAAAAGTTGAAGGCTCACATTTGATCTTACCTGGCTCTGCCTATCTGGGCAGCCCTCTTTCAGTTTACTGTCCTAATCTACCTACTTCTTTAGTAACTTTTCCAACTCAAGGCTTTTGATAATGTGGATTCCTTTGCCCAGAAATTTCATTTTATTTGTTTAAATTTCTGATTATATTTATAATTTTTAAACTTAAATGTTAATGCATTAAAGAAACTTTCTTTGATCCCTCAAACTGTAAGTTCCTGCTCATGCTTTCTCATAGCATCTCCTTAGTGTTGTTTTAGGGCATTGCTTTCATTGTTGCAATGAACACAACTACATTATCATTATTTAAAGATTTGTTTTATATTTTCCTGTTTTGGCCGAGGTTCACGATGACATTTAGTGGGTACTCCAGAAATATTTGTTCAATTAATATTTTAGTATTTGCCTAGGAAAACTTCATGGAAGAACCCAAAACATTTTTTAGTTGGAGAGCAGGTTGGATGGATGAAGTGATGCCACTTTTAGGGAGCTTTGAATACCCATCTGAGTTAACTGAACTGGAGGTACCAGGGATTTTTAAATTCTTAGGACTGATGTAATTAAAGGGGCATTTTTTTCCCCCAAGTGTAGATTCTGTAAGGATTGTAGAATAGATTATATACAGGACCATGTAGAGTGGTGGTTCTTAAACTTGTGTATATGAAAGATGACTTGGGTATTTTGCAAAATATGTAGATTCCTGGCTTCTATTCCCCCTTTTTAAAGTCTGGTTCAGTTCAGCACCACAGCCATTAACTACAGGTGACACTTAAGTACTTGAAATGTGTTAGTCCTAACTGAGATGTACTACAAGTATAAAGTTTTTAACTGATTACATATTAAGGTGATATTATACATGCATTGGATTAAATAAAATATATTAGTGGAATAATTTCACTTTTTTGTTTTTAGTTTTTTTTTATCAATCTACCAGCACATTTAAAATTACATAAGTGACGTGTTACATTTATATTGGATAGTGCTGGTCTACTGCATGGGCTATAAAGAAATGACATGTTGTAACCAGCATTCCAAATGATTCTGATGCAAGTTCTTAAATCACTCTTTGAAAGGCAGTAAACTGTGATGGATATTTTAGTAATGCAGGCCTAGGAGGTTGAATTGCTGGACTACATAGATGATAGAGTTTAAATAAGAAGGTATATATCAGAGCAAGATGTTTTGAAGAAATAATTGAGTTTTGATGACTGATATGGAGGAAGAATGAAATGGAAGTACAGAATCCAAGGGGGCAAGCTTGCAATATATGGTAGTGTTGGTCAGGGGATGTCAGGAAGAGCTGCTCAAGATTTGAGCCTGTCCTACTTCTTATTTATCACTATTAACACTCATGATTCTAGAAGCTTTTTGGAGGGACTTCTTTCCCATTAACTTTTGGGTACATGATTTGACATTGACCTCATCTTATCAAAATCATGCATACTCATCTTTACGGAAGGTTTTTTAAAAACTTGTTTTCAGTTACTTGAGTTTACTAAGTTTACTTTTGTTCATAATTCAGTGAAGTCTTTCTAATGTGTATTGTTTAGGGGAAGATTCTTCAGCCAGGGAGAAGTATAAATTAAGATATATTTCTGAATAAAATTCAAGCAGAATATATAACTAGACAAATCAGTATTAATAAAAGAGGTAACTACGGAAACATAAGTCATAAATGGGCCTGCATTCCATATTATGATGCTAAAATCAGAAGTACTTGTACAAATTTCTAAAGGTAGAATCAAATGGAATTTTGGACAGAAAATAACTTAATAACTTAGTTGGACAATCCTACAGATTAGGAAACTGAGGTCCAGAGTCATTAGATAGTCTAAGATTGAATATCTGATTAGTAGATTTGGTAGTAGGATCTAGGGTTCCTGACTTAGTTTCTCTTAAAATTATTTCTATTTGAAGACATACCTGAAAATCCTCTTATTTTTAAAATATTAACTGGTTTTAGCCTCAAGATGTTCAATAACCTCTTAACTTGACTTGCCAAGAAAATGGCAGTTACAATCCGTAATGAATTTTATGCCCATACTCAAATAGTTTCAATTGCCACAAGATGGCACTGTTTACATGTGAAATAATACCATTAAAACTTCAGCCTGAGAGTGTGTGTGCGCGTATGTGCTTTAGTTTAAAGTGAAATGAGGAAGAAAGAATTTAGTGATTTCTAAGGTACTTGTATATGTGGAATACATCAGAATGAAATATTGAATCATAATATATTACTGAACTGACATCCTTCTTTTAAATATTATGCCTGTATGCATACACACATGCCTGAAAACATATTTATTTACATTTATATTTAATTTGCGTATTCGTTTTTACGTGGAAAAGATAACATTTTAAGTAGTTGAATTATTATTCTGATAGACTTATGTCAGTTTTCCGTCAAATTGCCCGATGTTATTTTATTACTTGAGTCCAATATCTTGAAATAGAACATTTTATTCTAAATCAGGGGTACTTATCTTTGTGATAATTTTAATAAGATATTCATCTACTAAATTTAGATAAAAAATCCTGTTCACATAGATATTTATGTCAGTTTGGGAACTTGCTTTCTTTCAAAGAAAGGCTGCTGTCATAAATCTTAGTTATTCTTTTTCTTATTTCATATAGATCATTTCTCATTTGATGCTAAGAGCAAGAATTAAAATCAGAAATTTTCTACTGTGATTACTTAAGGTTTATTTTGTAGATCTAATGAATGTTTACATTTTTCATAAACTTAAAAATTAAATTGCATAATGTAAATCTCCTAAAGATCTATTTTCCCCAAATACTTCCCTCCAAAGGACTCTTTGATTGTTGACCCACATGTTCAAAATCATAGAACAAAGTTCAATCATGACATTTTATTAATAAGCAATGGCTTAATATAGTTAACAAATATATCTCTACTTGCATAATTCATAATTTTTAATGATCCAGTTGCATATGTAGGATATTAAAATTTTATTTTTATTGAAAATTCAGTACAAATATTATTGAACCATATTAAAAAGTTCTTATAATGAGAAATGTGGACTGTTCTTATCAGGAAGCATTGCTATGTTGTATTATTTAATTATAATTCTATTATGTT